ATAAATCCTGTATAATAATAATAATAATATAAATAATAATAATGTATCTCAATACAATACAAATAAAGTAGCCACCACTCCAAGCTCACTCCCGGGATGGACTGGAATCTCCCATTTAGTTTAGTAGCTTGTATTGAGATTGTAGTCCATCACAGAAGTGAGCTTGGAGCGGTGACTAACAAATACAATACAAATCATGTATCATGTACCATCACATTCTCAAACAATTCATCCCCACACAGCTACCTCCTCATGCCTCCCTTTTAGATTGTAAGCCCTCAGGGGCCCTCCTTACCATTTTGCACGTATTGTAATTGTATTGTAATTGTAATGTCCTCCTTATATTGTAAAGCGCTATGCAAACTGTTGGCGCTATATAAATCCTGTATAATAATAATAATAATATAAATAATAATAATGTATCTCAATACAATACAAATAAAGTAGCCACCACTCCAAGCTCACTCCCGGGATGGACTGGAATCTCCCATTTAGTTTAGTAGCTTGTATTGAGATTGTAGTCCATCACAGAAGTGAGCTTGGAGCGGTGACTACTTTACAACACACACAGGGACCATGGGGAACACAAGTAGCCCCCCTCCAGAAGGAAGGACAGTGTCAGCACCCATTCAAGGCACTTTTAAGATTTAACTCTTGAGTTTAGTGTCCCTTCAATCTTCCATCTTCTCTACCTAAGCACACCGCCACCACAAAAATGTTAGATAAATGTTCTAATGAAACACTCATCAGATCCACTGAACCATCTGTGCAACAGAGGTCAGGTCTTGGTATTCAGTGTCTAAACTTTACTCCCGAAGAAGGGGCACTAAACCCCCAAACATTGATTTTTTTTTTAAGAGACCTGTGCTGCATACCATGGTTAATCACTCTGCTTATTTCTCTGAAGTCCCATTGATTCACATGTACAGTATTATATGCGTAAAGTTTCTCTGCATATGCATACCTAGTATCTTGTGTTACGTATTGTACCTGCTTCATTTATATTCATTAAATGTGCATCTAAACTGTCTATGGTGTGCCTGCCCAGCATGTATGTATATATGGATTATGTATTGCGGTGATAGGACTGCACTGACTTATTCTGTTTATGAAGTTTGCCGGGCACATCTCTGTTAATTGTATTTTATCCTTCCCACATCCCTGGCCCGGTGGATGTAGAAGTTTGTGAAGAGGGGGGACACATAAGAATCTGGACCCTCCCTTTTAAAATAAGGGGGCCTCCCAGGGGCGTAACTAGAAATCACAGGGCCCCATATCAACATTTTCTATGGGGCCCTGTGATCTCTAGTTATACCCCTTGCAGAGCCCACTTGAGATCCCACACAGCCCACCTGAGGGTGACCCTGCAGAGCCCACCATAGACTCTCTAAAAGGGGGGCTCTGCAGGGTCACCCTCCTTACCTGTCCGCCTCCTCTTCTTCCACCGTCGGTGATGAGCCCCGCCTCCTTCCCGTCACCAGGCCCTACCTCCTCCACTTCCGGGTCAAGCCTCCTCCACCGCCACTGCTGGCTTTCACTGACTCCACAACGGCTGTGGAGAGGAACGCACCGCTGCACAGATCACTGTCAGTGATCTGAACAGCGGCATGTTTCTCTTTACAGTCGCCAGTGACAGCCAGCAGCATTAGATGCCATAGCGACCCAGGCGACCCGCAGGGCATCAAGGCGGCCACCTGGGTCGCTACGGCGATTGTTACGCCACTGGGGCCTCCAGATATATACTCCCCAAGTGAATGTGTAAGAGTGCATAGTACCCCTGGTTACTTATTTTTTTTTTTTTTACAAATTAGACACACACACAGGGACCATGGGGAACACAAGTAGCCCCCCTCCAGAAGGAAGGACAGTGTCAGCACCCATTCAAGGCACTTTTAAGATTTAACTCTTGAGTTTAGTGTCCCTTCAATCTTCCATCTTCTCTACCTAAGCACACCGCCACCACAAAAATGTTAGATAAATGTTCTAATGAAACACTCATCAGATCCACTGAACCATCTGTGCAACAGAGGTCAGGTCTTGGTATTCAGTGTCTAAACTTTACTCCCGAAGAAGGGGCACTAAACCCCCAAACATTGATTTTTTTTTTAAGAGACCTGTGCTGCATACCATGGTTAATCACTCTGCTTATTTCTCTGAAGTCCCATTGATTCACATGTACAGTATTATATGCGTAAAGTTTCTCTGCATATGCATACCTAGTATCTTGTGTTACGTATTGTACCTGCTTCATTTATATTCATTAAATGTGCATCTAAACTGTCTATGGTGTGCCTGCCCAGCATGTATGTATATATGGATTATGTATTGCGGTGATAGGACTGCACTGACTTATTCTGTTTATGAAGTTTGCCGGGCACATCTCTGTTAATTGTATTTTATCCTTCCCACATCCCTGGCCCGGTGGATGTAGAAGTTTGTGAAGAGGGGGGACACATAAGAATCTGGACCCTCCCTTTTAAAATAAGGGGGCCTCCCAGGGGCGTAACTAGAAATCACAGGGCCCCATATCAACATTTTCTATGGGGCATCTCCTCCGTGGATGGGGGGGTGGGGGGAGAGAGCACCTCCCGGAAATGAGAGGGACACCTCCCTGAAAGTGCTTCTTTCAGGTTGGGATCCCTAAAATCCCATGATATCAATGTTCCAGAACAATCATCTCCCATCTCTACTCTCCCCTCAACTAACATTTCCTGGTCAACAAACTGTCCAGAAAATGCTGCCTGACATCATTCACACCATATGGGCATGAACATATGTGGTCAATGACTTCACTGGGGATGCTCACTGGCTTGTTTAAAATGTAAACGCTGGAAGGCAGCAGGATAGTGGTTGCTAGGATTCTGCTGGCCACCTGTGTTCTATCAACCAATTACACCATGCGGCTGGTTGCGTCCTAGCAGCCAAGGACCGTTGTTTCCAGCACAGTGGGAAGTTGTCATCTAGTGGCAAGAGTAATACTGCCACTCAGGCCCGGTTCACACCTGAGCTTTTTACCGCGCGTTCCTACGCTCGGTAAGAAATCAAGAGATCTCGCTGCACTCCTTACCGAACAGAAAAGACCCGTATGGCCGGGTGGGTGCTTGTAGTGACCACGGATGGCACCGTGATAGAATCAGAAAGAGAAATAACATCACCAGCACTCCAAAGTATAATAAAGCAATAGTCCATTTATTTGCACATTGCCATTCAAATGCAAGCGCTTTCGGGGCCTCAGAGGGTCCCCTTCATCAGGCTCGGTAAAACGCGCAACAGGTGAAAACCCATGTTTGCCTATGGGCATGGTTTCCACCTGCGCGTTTCACCGCGCGTACGATCGCGCGGCAAAACGCCATATGCCCAAAGAAGTACAGGAGCTTCTTTGGGGCGTATTAACGTGCGTATCCCGCTGTATCCATTGGGATACAGCCGGATACCCCCTTGGAAACTCGCGTTTGCCGCCCGCCTCCTTTACCCCCAATGCCCGGAAAACCGTAATAAACGTGCGGCAAATGCGAGTTTCCAATACGCTAAGGGGTGAACCCAGCCTAACTGGATGATTTCCTGATTGCAGCAGGGAGAGGTTTATGGAGGACGAACATGCCAGATTGCCAGCATGTTCACGAATTGCAAACATGCAGAGTTCGGGATGAACCCTGCATGGCCATTAACCTCATCCCTAATTCTGAATATCCAGCAAGGCGTGCAAATGAATTAAATAGGCAGGAATTCGATTTTTCCATCATTTAATCATTTAATTTATTGAGTGAAGATCCTCAAGTAAGTAAATCATGGTATCAAATGTCTACTGAAACGCATATCATAATCAGATCGTCTCTGATGTTTTACATTGGTTCTCCTGTGTGCCCCCCCGCCCCCCCTTGTGGATGCTACAAGTAACCTTGCCGATGTATATTGCACAGGCATTTTCCACAGGCAAAACCTTTATTAGGTTTGGAATGGTGAAGAATCAGACTCTCAGTAATTTTTTTATTGTCTGTGCCCCCATTAAAGGTTCACTCCCTCTACTTGTTCTGATCACCAATGTCACTGGGAATGAAAGTGAGAGCAAATCCAAAAATTTGAGTTGCCGTCAGAACAGGAGTATAGGGGAAATTCTCCAATGGGGACAACTATCTACGTCTAGGTTCATACTTAACCCTTGAGATGTGTTGAAGCCATGTGTTAACATGTGCTGCATAAGGTAGCCCATTCAGAATGAAAGGGCTTGTAACGCACCTCAACGGTCTAGAAATCAGACCTCTGTCTTTTTTGGCAGTGCGCAGCAATATAGCGTCCCTCGGCAAGGTGAATTGGGATTCCATTCAGAACATATGGCATTGCATTGCACCTTTTGCAAGTAGTGCATGGTGCCATGCAAGTAGTGCATGGTGCTAACACATTAATTCCTCCAATGCAATAGTGTGCATGGGGCCTAAAGGTGGCCATACACTGTACAACCATCGCAAGACCTTAGTCTTGCGATGGTTGTAAAGTGATTAAAAAAACGTACGATCTGCCCATCTTGGACAGGCAGATCACACTCTCGATCATCGCAAGCCTGCCCCCCTGAGGGGCGGGCTTCCGATGACTGCAATGCTGAACGGGCAGTGTGCGCGTGCGCACACCGGCCCGTTCGGCATTTGTCTCCCGAGCACCGTTCAAACCAGCCGAAAATCGTACGATTCTCAGGTGGTTTTCTAACATGCTCCTTAGACAAAAGACGTGCGACCGTACAGTAGAAACGGTCGCACGTCTTTGTTCACACTGTTCGATTCTGGTACGATCACGGGATTTCCCGCAATTCTCGTACGAGAATCGAGCAGTGTATGAGCACCTTTAGAAGGGAATTTCCTCACCTTGAAAAGATGTCTATTCACTTCCTGTTGGGTCTTCAAGGCAGAATGTTAAGGGGAAGTTACAATTTGATTGATCTCACATTTTAGATCCTGTTGATATAGTAAAATCTAATATACTATGACTTCCAATTTCAGACTGTGTGGTACAGATCTTTTCTGGCGGGGTGCGATGTTTTTTATTGCCCTGATCAAGATGTATTAAAATTTATCTACGTCTGTCATCAGTGCCCACCGTAAGTACTGATAACATATAAATGTAAATGAATTATACTTTTTAAAAGCAATATAAGAAACAAACCTCTTTCCCAGTTGTATTTTATTTTTTAAAAAGCATTACCGTTTTTGCCGGCGTATAAGACGACCCCCTAATTTTTCTGTTAAAACATAGCTTTTGGGCTATACTCGTCGTATAAGATGAGTATAGCCTAAAAATAATGTTTAAATACACCCACTAACCTCCATGGCGGTATTCCTGAGTGTGGCTTGGGGTTAATTTTCAGTACCATAAGCGGTAACCCCGAGCCACACCCGGGATTACAATCTCTTACCTTGTCCACGATCCCCGCAGCGTCCTCCATCTTCCGGGTTCCGTCCCTTGCGAGCGTCCGCGTAGCAGGGGGGCGGAAACGGCGGGAATTTTAAAAGTAAAAAAAATAGAACAAAAAAGGAAACAAATAATAAAATAAGGGAGGCTAATCTGTCAGCCCGCTGGATGTGTGGTAATACTGTATGTACGGTAGCTTCGGCTATATACAGTATACCGCACTGAGCCAATCACGGCGAGCAATGTGCACAACAACCTCTGCCAGTCCGAGCAGGCTTTGTATTCAGTAATAGAATGCATTGCTCGCCGTAATTGGCTCAGCGCGGTATACTGTATGTAGCCGAAGCTACCGTACATACAGTATTACCGCACATCCAGTGTATTGTATACCCGGCGTATAAGACAACCCCTGATTTTCGGGGGATGTTTTTAAGTCTAAAAACTCGTCTTATACGCCGGCAAAAACGGTAGCTGTATTTCAAATCAAGCAAAATGTGAGATCTGGGAACCACTGGTGATAAAGGTGTACAGAAACAATATCCCTCAATGAACCAACACCTAAAATGCAGAAAAACATATACGTAGCTGAAATCACCATGGGTGATTACCATGGATACAATATATCTGTCATCAGGATATCAGGATTGCCTGATTGTCATTAGATATGGACATTTGCATAGATGTTTATCATTTCTGTAAATTTTTGTTTTTACTTTGGACATCCCTTGTCCATCTAATTACCAATGTATTCCTTTACAAAGTAGCCTGAAACAGTTGTATGCAAGCTGGTAATCCTGGCTTTGTAAAACCACAACTATATCTGAGCCATACGCCAGTGAATATGAATGCAGAGAGGGCTAAGAGGGGCAAAAAGGAAGGATTTGCATGGCTTACCCATAAGCAGAATCTGAGCTCCTTGTTTTGGGGGTTTTGTGCCAGAAATGAGGACATGTAAATCCCTTCTGTTCTGGAAAAAAAAAGGCAACGCTGTATCTAAAATTTTTTGACAATCCACTTTTCAGATGCTGGATGCGTAATGCAATTTAAATGATTAGGTATGCGTTTCTATATATACTGTAGCGTTTAGGGTATTTAAGGATCCTTAGCCAGGCGGGTTTGGAACATAACAACTTTATTTTGTTCCAAACAGTACAACTTAAATTGCTTCTTTTCAGCAAACAAACATAAACAGGGTGTATCCTCCAGCAACATCCAAGATTTGGCTCAGTCCCGGTATCATGTCCCACCTCAGGATTAGAGCCTCAGCCGGCTCATGGCCAGACACCCAGCAGTTTCACCCCTCCCTGTGTGACGACGGTCCTCCCGGCCTTTCCAAACACACCTCGTGTGCCACAGACCCTCCTGGCCTCACCCACACAGCGCATGTGCCACAGGCCCTCTCTGCCTCTCCAGCCAGACTTCAGCTCAGTGTCCCATGTGTCACATACACACAGTCTCCCACGCTCTGCATGTACTCCTGCACCACTGACTGCCTCTGCCTCTTGGTCCACTCTCTTAATAGGGCTGTTATCATCCACCTGGACAGTCTGGCCTGGCAATTGGCTGCACCTGGCCCCAGGACTGGAGGTTTCATCCCGCCCATGACTCTTAGAAATTTCCAGAGACCCAGATCCCAGTTATACTCCAGAAAACCCAGAAAGAACTGGAAACCCAGCTCCTTCCCTGTAACACTATGGGGTCTACATTTTCCCATTGAAAAGCATTGGAGTTCCCCATCAGGTCCATCAGCAGAGGGCGGGTACAATGCTAGTTTACTATTGGCTATTGCGAATTGAAATAGCCAATAGTAAACTAGCATTGTACCCGCCCTCTGCTGATGGACCTGATGGGGAACTCCAATGCTTTTCAATGGGAACATTTCTTTTTTTTTTTTTTACAGCCGCAGAGCCGCCGGACAATAGGAAACTATTGGGCAGATCTAGCTGTCACTGCTAGCTCCGCACAATCGTTTTCTATTTACTTTTTTCACTCTTTTTCTGTCCTGCTCGGTGCCTCTCAGGGATCCGAAGCCACTCGAAGCAAGCCGATATACGGCTGAAATCAGCCGTACCAGCCTGAAGTGAATAGCTGAACAGTGTTTGGCTCACTTCACTTCAGATCGGTCATTCACTCGGCTGCCCTCGGCAGCTTAGTGAATAGACCCCTATATGTTTTCTGGACCCCCTCTGGCCGAGAGTCCTGGCCGCCAAACACACCAATCACCATAGTGACACAACACTGTCCTGCCGCAATACATTTTTTATATAATCTTTTTCATGGGGCCCCATGGTGATTTTAGTTATGTTTTCATTTTAGTTTTGGCTCTTTTTTTAATGTTTTTGTTATATGTTTCCATCTGTTTTTTAGATGTTGGTTCAATAAAAGATATTGCTTTATGTATGTTTTTATCACGAGTGGTTCCCAGATCTCACTTTTTGCTTGACCTTTATATTTGAGTTGATTGGGATCCATGCTGATTTATTTCTGCAAAATATATTTTACTACTACAACTTTCTACAAACTGTTCAAACTGCAAATTATTGTATTTTATATATCAAAAGTATAGAATGTGTGTAGTTAGAGGTGAACTCCAGGAAGACATAAAAACAGAGAAGAGTGATGACAAACCCCATGGTCCCTGTGTGTGTTGTAAAGCAGCCACCACTCCAAGCTCACTGCCACGATGGACTACAATCTCAATACAAATTAGTAAACTAAACATGAGATTGTAGTCAATCCCGGGAGCGAGCTTGGATCGGTGACTACTTTACAACACACACAGGGACCATGGGGAACACAAGTAGCCCCCCTCCAGAAGGAAGGACAGTGTCAGCACCAATTCAGAGATTATTTGAGGATCTACAGGCCAATTGATACACCAATAAGATACATTTTTGCTAATAGTTAGGGTACTTGAATGCATTTTTAAGGTTTAATATCACTGTAAATATAAACTTTCTTTCTGCTACGTTGAGGTCATGTCTCCGTGTTCTTGAAAATGTTTTTGCAGTCTCTCCCGAAATGTGTATTCCATCAGACTATTTTTGTTGCCCTGCTTTGGGTTTGAGAATTAATGCAGTTATGTATTGTGAGGCACTGGCTGGCATGAGTGTTGATGGTGTATAAGTGTCACCTGGGTTTCTCATCTACACATGGTAAGGGGCTTTATTGTGAATGATGGAAAAGGAAAAAGCAAAGTTTTTTTTTTCTCAGATCTTAAGTACTAGTCTTGGTCCTGGAGCCCGGAGGCTTTGTAGAGCTTTGGGTGGGATAAAGCCTCCATTCCTCGGTCAACATCTTGCTTGTTAGCCAGACCTTATTATTAGTCTCAGTGGTCCACAGGCCTTTATATATGTGAGCTGACTGATGCTCATGGTGCTCTCCCTCTCTTATGTCGGCTTCTGGGTGAAAAGGCTGAGTGCTGACAGAACAAGAAAAAGGTACAAGAGTTACCTGTTGTTTTGGGGACCACATTAGGTGGCACCCTATTAATCAGGAACTGGCCTGAGTTTAGTTAGTGGCTCAGTCAAGCAGATGTTTTGTTTGTTTTATGCTATGGACTTGCTTTATAAATGCCTCCTGTATTTAACTGTTTGTTTGCAGGCTTGCTGAATGCCTTGTTTGCAGGGCAAACCTGCTTGGACTGTTCCTTGGTGTCCCTTTCGCATGCAATATTTTTTGTTGCCATTACAGGTTAAGTTGGTCTCCCTTACAGTATTCATTGACATAGTAATTAAATCCAACTAGTGTATGTACAGCCTCTTTCAATCCCTTGTACAGAGGCTGTTACCATGGAAGAGTCAAGGTCAGCATTATGAGCCAATGACTTTATCAGTCAGCTGCTGCTCAAACACTGTCCAATCACATGTTGGTGGCAGAGAGGTGACCTACCAGTGTTGCTTAGCTGAAGCAGAGAAAAGTGAGGTGACCAGCCTAGCCTTTCAGGGTCTACCCCCTTCTTCTAGGTCCAAGCAGAGTTTTTTTTAGACCTAAGAAAAGATGGTAGACCCCTAAAAGCTTGTCCTGAAAAAATGACCATTAGTGCAAATACAAAAATGATCACATAGAGTTCTCAACTATGTTGTTGCAAGTGCGCTAATACGGCTACAATCACCTTATGCATGGCTTTTTTTTTGCTAAATATCTCAGGGGAAATATCCAAAGCTCCATCAATAAACCATATGAAGAAGGAAAAACTTGTGAAAAGTGTCCAAACGCATGTAATAAGGGATTATGCAGTAAGTATTTTACCTTTTAAGCTAAAACTACACTTTACATAGCAAAACCCCTTGCAAGCAGAAGAAAGAATGCTTGGCATAACATACATTTCAATTTGTGTTGTATTTATTATGTGCTATAAAATGAAAGACCAATTGCAGACAACACACAAGAAAACATCGGTGAACTTCTAACAAGTGATCTTGTTAGAAGTGCATTTCGCATCTCATCACATAATCCCCTGCTCACTAAACATCAATCAAATTAAATCCCACTCACACAACAGAGGGTGGCCTCCCTGGACTACCCTTACAAGGGGACAGATTTCAGATACCCTTATGGAGGAGAAAATCTCAGTATCTGCTCAAGCAGAGGCTATTTGATACTTTTTTCCTCTCTTCTGGGTTGAATGGGGTTTGGCATGAACCCCAGTCAATGCTGCTCTTCTGTACAGGACTCCAAAAGGGAGATTCCCCCCCC